TCAGCAACAGTGAATGGTTTTGAGTGTAGAGCTTCATTTTGACCTGAAAATACGATGTTTGGGAAATTGGGTGAGACGTTATGGATTTGTGTTTACTGTTTTGAGAATATGAGGCATAGTTTCAAGAAGTGTGTTTAAGCAATCGAGAAAAACTGTAATGTCTAAGTATGTGAAAAAGCAAAAATATTACTTGTAGTAATAAGCCATTTTGGTGCATTTACGTTTAAAAAAATTCAAGTACTGTTTAACCACGTGACATGTACAATACCTATATCAAAGTAGCTTTGTCACATTTTTTTAGTTTATTTTGTATTGCTTTAAAGTGGTAACACAACATGTCGACAAATGAGCATACTGCATCTTTAAATTTGTGATCATAAATGCATATAATAACTGACAAACGAATATAAAGATTGGTTTATTCACCACCCCCATCCCGTAATTGACGGGGCTACCCCTCCTCTCTGATTCTAATTTAACCCCTGCTTACGCACCTATTTATATTACTGACATGATGGATGATGTTTCCCTGCACATTATTGTCTTTCTAGATCGCTCCTAATTCCGACAAACAACGGGTGTGCGGAAATAAGGATTAGTCTATTTTTTCTGCTGACGTGCTTCATACAGGGAAAGGTGACGTAGAGCTATAAATCCGGACTGATATCCTGGGAAATATTATTGGGTCAGAATTAAGGATATGCTGATCAATACTGAATGTTTCATTTTGAGAATCAATTCTAACGTTAAAATATCGATTTTTTTTACCCTGGTCATTTAATTGTTTGCGTTATTATAGGAAGTAGGACACTAACTCTTTCCAGGCAGGATCGCCAAGTAGAGGGGAGAAAGGGAAAGACTTTCAGGGGATCCGACACTAGTGACTATAGGAAAATGTAATGATCAATTTGACGGAATGCACCTCCCCGGTCAGCACATTTCATGGTTAGGAACTTCCCCCCACCGGTTTTAATCGTCAGGGTTGGGCCAGAAATGAATATCGGGACCGGTATCGGCCATATCAATCTTGGTATTGGATCGAATTGGACCGGTAAGAAAATCAGTGGTATTGCCCATTCTAGTAAAAATGTTGCTTTACCCTCTCTCACGACTTCCAGCAGCCCATGTGTTCAAATTGACCAAATTTATTCTGTCGTCTGTTTTGTCTTGAAGTCCCAGACATCATTTCAGCTCCTACTGCTCTTCTCAAACTTCCTTACACAAAAACCACTAATCACATTTGCAATAAAACACAGCAATAATTAATAAGTTGTTTATTTGTCAGCACTTGACCAATTTATGTATCTAGAGCAGAGAACCTTTATATGTGAAATATTAATAAAACCGCCGCTTGAGACGAAAACAACTGACGCTAGAACGTCGGTTTGAGGTTTTGTTCGAAATTACCACGAGGGGGCGCCCCACACCTGCTTTTAGTCTGTTCTGCACGCAGGACGGGGGGGAAATATAAGGCTGGAAAAAAATGCCCCTGTCGAAGTGTTTATCCTGACGTCAGTGTGCAGGGATCGCAGCGCTCCAGTCTCGCTCTCGGAGTCGTTCAGCAGCGTTCCAGCAGGATTTCGGGGATCGATGGGCTGGAGTTCGCCACTTGCGCACTAGTTTCGCCGGAGTGACTGTTATGATTTCTGATCATAATCCCAACTGGACTAAAACAATGAACACCTGTGTTTTTCTCGTGATCCTGGCCGCGCAGATCTACGCCGATGGCATGGAAGGGCCAACAGGTAAAGCCAGTGTGTTTTCTGGCGGAGTAACAATGCGCATCTAACTCGCAAAGTTATCTGTTTAAGTTTAGGGACATATGGGAGCTGTTTTTAATCGGTGATCAATGGCGTGTCCCGGGGAGTGTCTTTTGCCTTTACTACTGAGAACTTTTATCATTTATTTTCTTTTCGGGATCTTATAAATCTGTTATTGAGCTTTCTCGTTTTCGAATCAGGATAGTTAAACTGGTAGTTTCTGTTCGTTACGCTGCGTTTTTGGAAATTAGACGGCACCCTGATCATGTGTAGTTATTTGTTGTTACATTAAACAGCATTTTGCTGCGCCGTTGCTAAATATGCATGGAGAGGTTGTGCAACTGGGTTTGAGCGAGAAAAAAAGAACGACAGGAATAAATGTTAGATGGACTGATATGAAACCGAACCTACTCGCCGTTGCCATTTTCACCGTCGGCAGTCTTTATAGCCTAGTAGACATTGTTAAAATCACGAACATAAGATGTTTTCTTGTTTAGGGCAGCGTCGGTGCTCACCTGAACTACATGCGATCGAGATTCATACACTCCGCAAGCACAGCGTATGCATTTCTCTGGAAATGTCTGAACTGTTACTCAGTGATATAATTTCGTAAAGTTACGCATTTACGCCAGGTGATATTATGCCTTTTGCCTGAAAAAATATTTCCGCGTTTTTTTTTTTTTGATGAGGAAGTCAGACTGGCTATTTTGACAATGGTCGTTGGGTTTATTATTTATGTTACTTTCCTTGTAGCAGCAGATTTGTAATTGTACGTAGGCTATATTTCAGGTTACGGTATTTCTCACTGTGTCTCACGATATGCGTTATTTAAACCGTAAGTTTCTGATGCACTTGTTAGCCTATTAAATCCCCATTCGCCCTCGCTGTTCTGTGTTGGCATTTAAAGCAGGTGAATGCCGTGATGGCAACTGTGACCGGAGCGTCTGCGTAGCTCGGCTGCGTGCTTGGGGGACAGGATGGCTCTGAGCAGTTTGATTTCACTTCCAGCGTGAACATACTGACCCTGTGAGGCAGACGGAACCTGGACACTGCCCGTGATCACTTGGGCTAAATTTCTTCAGGGAACATTTGGAGAAGTTTTTCTGCTCCGATGGATAAGAAAATTGTAGCTTCTAATTTATTACGGGTATTTTTGAATAATTTTACAATGAAACTATAATAATAGGCTGGTAATAATAATAATAACAATAATAATAACTAAATGTTTAATTTAGACAAATTTATATTAATGTTCACTTTTGCGCGTTTCTGTGGGCTCCTGTTTAAACAACATGACTTGTCATTTGTTGAGATATTACGGCGACGTGTGCTTTGGTTGCTCTATATAGTTATACGTGGTGATACTCTATTGTAATACATGATCTGGGCACGCAAACTAGCATCCGTCAGTATAGGCTATTCGAAAATTGCTTTGGAGACTTAAGCGACCCACTGTCTTCCACCTTTTCATTGGTGAATCATCGATAATTATACATCTGGTTTATACACGTGTGTGTATAAAACAGAATGATGCAGCACCATCAAGAATATTAATGGTCATTTTCGATAACTGAAAAAACACGCGTTAGGTCTAATTATAACGTGACTTTAGTAGTATACTGAGGGTCTGAACTATTTCAATATACTACTAGAGGCAATATATTATTTGAGTTCATTATGTAAAATGAGCCATTGTGACTCTTCTAAGATTATATTCACACAATGTAATCCAACACTCCGCATGCTTTTTTGTTTAATTCATCAGTACAGCGTGTCTCTATTTTAAGCGAACTTCGCGACTCATTCATTTTTGTGCTCCAGTTTCTTTGGCAGAGTGACTATTTTCAAACGCGATCCCCGACTTTAAATACGAGCCGTATAATTTGCGAACCGTGTCTTGTTATTTATGAGCAGCATTACGGGCTGAAGGTGTGGGATCGCCGCTGTGTGGCGCGTAGCGGAGCCGGAACGCCGCAGCCTCCGCCGCTAAACGCATGTGCTGGAGCTACTGTAATGCTGACTGGCTCGACTTCACGAATCGGTTTTCGGCCTCCTCTGGAAGTTATCGATTTTAAGTTAACGAAATAGGTCGCATTTAGTAATCTGTAAGCCTGTTAACTTGTCGCTAATTGCGCAACGATGTAATGGCCTGCTGACTTTTTATCGCGTGCAGTCTGCGTTTGTTATTCCTGACTTTTTATTCGACTGATTTTGTTATTTTTCACCGAAGCCATTTGCGCTTTATGACTGCAGCTTTCTGACCGGTTGATATTAGTTTGTTCAAGCCACGCTGTAGGACATGTTTTGAATCCCGAAATGGAAAATAAAGCAGACTGCCCAGTCTCTGTGATTTCATAGCGCCACATTACATCCGAATCTTTCCGCCAGCGGCTTTCCTTTGGAAAGGAGATAATCTGCCCAGACCGCACCCCACAAGAAGGCATCTTCAGAAACAGTGTTTTAATGAAACCGTTTTCTCTCTCCCTCTCTCTCCAAGAAAGGCGCTAAAAATGCCACATCTGTTCGTGTTGGATGTGCTCCCTGAATCCCGTTATCGCCGTTTCGCAATTTCGGGTCTTCTGCTCAGCTGTAAACTTCAAATCGCGGCCTTTCATTGTATTAGATGCGCTTAAAGTTTATAATGGCACGCTAGTGACTTGAAAGATACATCTGCATCGATACAAAATGTCTTTTTTGTATTTAATCCTTTAGAAAATATTAACAAACGTGTAATGGACTGTGTGGGAGATAAGGCGGAGGTGTACTGCATAGTTTATATTACCAGTGTTATTATGTTTGCTGAAGGTACTCGGAGTACGAGTGAAAAACTGCCGTCTGTTCTGGGTGAACGTGTACCATAAAATTGTGATCTGAAATGCTTTACTTAATAAAACCGAACATTATAAAAAGCAGCTGAAACACTCAAACAGATTGTAACTTATTCAGTGAGTCAAGTAATGAATTCTCCTAGAACCAGAGCCATGTCCTGTTGCTTTTTTTTAATCTATGGCATACCTGCAATTCCTGGCATAATTCTCCCTGGAGAAAGGACGTTTTTAACCTTTGATGGAAAAATCGCACAGTTATTCATAAGAAATAATGGTATGCGCGCAGCTGCCCGACGCGGGAGCGCGGGCTTATAGCGCGAGGCAGAATTAGTACGGGCACACGCGAGCGCTGCCTCGAGACCGCCGGGCGCCCGAGGAGCGGAAAAACTCCCCCGGTGCTCATCTGCTGGAAAGTGCGGCGCCTGGCGCGCCTTCCCAGCCGTACAAACGCGCTCACGCTTACGGCCTCAAAACCCGCCTGTAATGCATATATTTTACTTGGCAGCGCATGCACATCTCGGCTAATATAGATCTCTTAGATAAGAGTGTTGACGCACAGGAAAAACATGTTTAACTCATTCACAAGTCAGCATAGCTAAGGAGTGCACTGAATAAGAATGGAATTACAGTGTCCTCTAATGAAATTGCATAGAAATTCTTTATGGTTTATGAAATGCATTAGCAAAGACATATTTTGAACTCTTCTAGTAAATTGCTGCTTTTATTAACATATATTGGTTTAATATATTTTAACAGTAGAGATACTTCATTTGCTTCCTGTAGGGTGAAGAACTGAAATTCAGAGTCCTTTTGTGTCTGTATAACAAATTTTGCAGGCTGCAGCCAGGTGTGTGCTGAAATCTCGTGTACCTGAACAGAGATGCAGAGACTACGTCAGTTAAGCCTACTTTGTCGAGTAGTAAAACAGAGCAGAGATGAAGCTGAATCATACAATTTGAAGAATTATTAAATCTTATGAAGATAATTAAAGATTAATTGGAACGGCACAGCTGAAGAAAATTGCCTGATTATCCCAACTGGGTTGCCACTTCATGTAACATTGGTATGCTGAGTGACACAATATGGGTATTTTATCGTTAATAATAAACATTAGTGAGCACTTTTCAAAAATATTATTATGGGAATTATTCATAATCGATTTGTGGAGTCCCGCTGTGTCTATGTGTGAGTGTGTGGGCCTAGCCCTCCTGGTCCAAGTTGAAGTGAATGCAGCTTGCTGCTGATGTGTTTGAACATGCTGCTTTCTGCGGGGGAGGCTGGAACCTCATGGCTGTTCACTTTTCATTGATGGACTTTCAACGGCCCGTTTCGTCGCTGCCATCACGCTCACGCTCTTTTTCAGGAGTTTAACCTGTTCCCCCTGATCGCTGTCATTAGCTGTCTTGGCCAGCCGCCCCCAACCTATTTGATAGCACCAGACATGGAACGTGGTGGAAGGGGCCAAGAGGTGCAGCACTAGTGATGGAATCTGCGGACAGCCAAACGCAGGTCTGCTCGGCGCAGCAGATGTGTAGTGGTCACGGTGGGGTCGAAGGATCATTGGCAGGGACTCTGTTGCCTGGGATTCCGTGCAGATGCACAGCGACTCTCATTTGAATTTTCTCTGAGCCTTTGCCTCAGCCATAATCTCGTCATCCCTACCAGGGTAGCTGCTCCCAACTGCTCTGTATTGTCTAGCATATCTGTCACCTGGCAGAGAGGCACCCAGCAATGCCAGGTGTCGCCTATGAAGGGGTGAGGACGTTTTATTTTGTCACTTCCCTTCCACATGTTTCGGGTCGGTCTCTACTGCGTGACGGGACCCCATGAAGGGGCTCAGGGTTAGAGGTCAAGGGGTGAAGTGGGATCAGCAGCAGGAGAGGAAATGCTTCTGGCTTTGATGAGCGGGGGGACAGTCTGGGCCGAAAGGGTGGGGGTTGAGCTGCGTCTGTTTTTTTGCTCAGTGCTGTTTTGTTTTGTTGTGTCAGATCTTTGTGGCTGTAAGCTGGGGCTGTTAAGGTTTGGTCTCTGGGGTACGAGATCACACCGAGTGGGGTGGGGGGGCAGCAGGTGAAAAGGGCAAAGTGGTGTTGTGTATCACAGTGTTTTCTTTGTAAACACTCGAGGCTATTTGCCTTCTCAAGGGGGGTGGGGCAT